GCGAGCTGTAGGACTGTGCTGTGATTTAGTAGACTACATAATGATGAACGGTTTTGTGTTTCTGCGTGCGCTCTACAGGGCTGATCAGCCCTTCCGCATGTGCTACGTTGACTTTGATTAACAGTGACTACCCCACTCAGCATATGTTTAGAAGCGTGCGGTTAATTCCTCGAATTACATGTTAGGGATACGCTAGATACACAGCAAAGAATGACTTCATGTTTAGAAAGCTACATGTACAGATTGGTAGCTCCAAGCATAGTGGAGTGTAGAAGAGAACGGCAAATGTGTAATCAAAGACACGGAGCAATAGGCAATCGAGTAATGTTTGTACGCGTCTTCACGGAGTACATAATATTCTGCTACACTACTAACAGAGAAACTCCTAATGGAACATGCCGTGTTCTAGCCAAACAACTACTTCGCTTTCTTCATGTGCATCTTTCCGGTCCTGTAGCGCCTTCCACGCGTTAATCAGCTCTAAGACTGCAGGTGCCCTACGCTCCGGGAAGCCCGGAATATAGGCAATCCCGCTCGCTTCTCTCAACTCCAGCGCGCTCGACCCGTTTTCGTGCCTGTAGGATGCATAATATGCGTTGTGATGTAGACCGATATTCTGACATCCTGACAGGTGAGGGTGTAGTTCAGAGCATTCAGCCGCACATTCGCGTCGAATTTCGAGTGGGTGTACGATCTCAGTCACGGCAACATCACGCCCGCATCATGCGCACCCATACAAGCCCGCCGAAATCAAGACTGGCAGAAGGCCCGCCGCGTTGCCGGCGTATGAATCTGCCAATGTTGCTTTATTGAACCTCCAGGCTCGGTAGACGTTCCATCGCCGGTGCTTAGAGGTTTGTTGATGGCCGTGCTTCTGGTCTGGTGAGGTTGAATCACGAGTGCGAACGCAACTGCACGCGCATATTACTGCACTCGGATTAGCTCCTGTCTCTTCGAGAGACCCAATGTAGTGTCCTAAGATGTGTTGTCCCCAGGTGGAAAAACCCCATCAAATGCATACCTCTCGCGCAGTAGTATCTCTTACTTTTTTATCCTGGAGAGGGAATCGCGGAAGTCTGTAGCAGGGAAATCGCGTTTGCGCCGTTCCGCTTAGCGCTGACACCCAGCTCACCGTAAACATTGGCTTAATAATTGGGGGAGGTGCAATTGGCTGCGCGCGAGTAAAGACGCCTTAGGTGGAACTAACGTCCATTGGCCATCCAACAACGAACCGCTAGTGCTTTCCTCGCACAGTCACCGTTATCAGATGTAGTATATTCGAGTTGTGCGTTCGCGTAGCTACCCGCTCTAGCATCTCGATAATCCCCATAGTCATACAATAGGCGACCGTTCCAACAACTAGCTCATAAATGAATTCGATAGGTCTATAGGTCTTTCGGAGTGTAGTCCCGCGTCCCTGCAGTTCGATCATGATATGTGCACCCGCAGTCTCGAAATGTTGCGACGAATTGGTAGGGTACGAAGGATACTCAGCTCGACGCCAGGACCTCATTCCAGTGGTGCTGTGATTCATAATGGCTGCTGGCAAGTTTGGTTGTGCAAATTTGCCTATCTCGAGGTCCGCCGTTCAAGCATCCCAGAGTGTTGTGACCTTGTGCCTTCTTCGTGATTTCATCTCGCTCCTTCTCTTCCTCGATAGAGTTCTCTCGGAAGTCATGTTCCGGTGCTTATGGCAGGCATTGGGTTACAAATTTGCTCGCGGAGCGGCTCCTGCACATTGAGTGCGTCTCGCAGGTCTCGGCTTCCAGGAAACCTGTGTTGTGACTTGTCAGCGATGCAACCATTTGCTTATCCTGTCCGTGAAGCTGGCTCCGTTCCACTGTTGATGGGCGCGGAACTGTCCTCCTGACTGCTATACATAGCTACCTTTCCGTACCATACTGTTGTGCCGTAATCAGTTCAGCTGTGATAGGCTCTACGCTGGTGCGTCTCGTCAACCACAAGTCCAACAATGAGTTCTGACCAGTGTCAAACTTGAGGTATTTTCATCTCGGTGTTTTGGAAGAAGGCGTGCCCTCAATTGGCCTCACTTATGCGCGTGCCCAGCATATTTTTCCTCTATGTCGTTGGGTCTCCAATCGTATCGTAGTGGAGTAGGAAGTTTCGTTCATGGAGGTAACATGGGAGCCCTCTGGTATTGCAAAGCAGTACCATCTCTTTCTTTCCAAACTGTCGGGGACTCCCTCTTTTAAAAGGTTGTTCCCTCTCCTCTCTCTTTCTCTTTCGTATCATCATCATCCGATCGAGCCATCCCAAATACCAAAAGCTTCCTGATCTTTACCATCATTACCCATCATTCCACTGTCGTTTGAAGGCCGCAGTACTCCCTCACCACAACTCACCATTTCCCATCACACCACCGTCATCATGATTATGAAGACATACACTGCCGGCGCCAAAAGGCAGGAATCCAGATTCTTGCAAGATTGGAGGCAACCAAACAGGACCTCTCCTCCGACTTCCCCTTCTCCTCCCACCACACGCCCCACTACGCCATCATGGCGGTCGCCATCAGATGATTCGCGAAGCCGATCATCATCAGAATCCTCTTCCTCTTCGTCCAACTGGAGGACGGGGTCACCACCTCGACCCATCCGCAATCAGGCAGGACTACCACCACCTGATGAGCTGATGGAAGGGGATATCGTCTACCTGACCCCAAAGACGATCCCAGACTCCTCCATCATTAGGAGTCACGTAAACCAGAGCGGCTTTGAAGATCACCCTATAGTCGTCCTGGGTAAGGAGAGACGAAAGGGCACCATGATCGTCAGTTTCCGGCTGCTTACCACCTTCAACGGCCACACAGTTGAGGAGAAGAGACAGGGCGATCGAAGATATCAAAGAAAGTTCTTTATGATGGTTGAGAACCATCAAGATATGGTTAACTCCACGATCAACCCGGTAGCCAAAATGGCTCCAGGTTTCGATGCGTTGAAGAGACGGAGCTACGTCAACCTCTCGCCCAATTCTCGCTTCCAGGTAGAATACGAGTATCTCGAGGCCTTTGGAAAGGATCCACTGCGGAGGCTTGACGCCAGGTCAGTCTCATATATCAAGAGCGCATGATCCGACACCTAAATTCCTCTTCCGACAATGCCGAACGCCACCGATGGCTCATGCCTGAAGGTCCCCGGCTCCTTTCTCTCGACAATGCTGATCGCCACCGATGGCTTACGCCTGAAGGTCCCCAGCACCCTTATATCGACAATGCCGAACGCCACCGATGGCTTATGCCTGAAGGTCCCCGGCACTCATCCCAGCGTCAAGGTCCGAATCCCGAAAGGGTTGTCGTCTTCCCGGTACGCCTTGCGAAGTCGTACGGATCCGAGGGACGCATCGACGACCTCCAGGCTGCATCATGTGCTGATAGAACTACAAGTCACAGTCTCATGTAGTCTTCTACCGGGCCACTGTAGCTGGGTGATCGAAGGATGGTGCGGACGCGGTTGGATTGTTGGAGTTCATAACGTCTGCTTGCGCCGCTGTAGTACTATAATAATTAATGTCTCATTCGCTAGATCTCTGCATGCTCGCATCGTGATCGCATCGTGGTCGCTGCGTGGTCGCAAATATCGGGCAATAAATGTGTCGGGGATGGATGTGTTGTGTGCGAGATTTGTGAGGGGACGTAAGTACGTCATCCCGCACTAACCACGGTTGCGCGGTCCCACTATTATCTGCGCGTACACACAACATCGACCTGAAGTTCGCTCATTGTTGATGCAAACATCTTTCTGAGGTTACCTAGTCTTCTGATAATCTCAGCCCTACACGCAACCGTATCTACAGTGCTTCCTCATCCTGAGCTCAGTTATGACCCATACTCAGGTAGTATCTTTTGACAAGCGCAACCGACAAAGGCGATGGCTACTGACGACTTGTTATTTCGATCCCAAACCACGATATACTCACTTGTTCTCGATCTACTATCGTTTGTCCTCGTTAGAGACTTTGCATACAACTTTTCTTTCTCGCCACTCGCTGAAGGGGACAGTTTCCAACACATCAAATGATCCCTCACTACCTACGCCCTGTAGCGCTGTTGCGATGCTCTTCCCTTTGATGCTTTAGTCCGTCACTCCTACGTTATCATACCCATGGCGACTGTACCACTAGCCACAAAGGGGGTCGACTGATGGCCTACGAATAGCCTCCCTTTCATCCGTTCATGGACATTGTACTAGTGAATACAAACATGACTGCGAAGGTAGTGGCGAGATGACATCAGAAACTACAAGACTTACAGAGATGGTAGTTCTATGACGTTCACTTGCGTGCCTTGGCCGCTCCTCTCTGGGTCTCCTTATATCTCCTTACGCACAAGCCATTCATTGCTAACGCACCTAGAGTGTTCTCAAAAGCGCGTTCCAAAAGTACTTACACTCCTCAACCCCTAGCAAGGTCCTCGTCCACTACTTTGCTCACACCCAACTCTCGTTCGCTTCCAGGTCTGGCCTCGCCGAAACTTCGTGCGACCCCCTATTTCCAGCAGTCCCATCATATTGTTCTAACAACCGCGCAGGGTTTCCTTCTCTTCGATACACGCTATTCCAAGTACTTAAGGCGCTGGGTCTTCCTGTATCTGCTACCATACTTCCGCAACCAGAGCGCCCTTCAGCCCGTTGGCACGCCCTATTCAAACCACCCTACACCCAACAATCACCGCGCCTTGGTCACACTATCCCTACCTTCTGCTCTGAACACGTGCACGCCTGGATTTGAGCTGCTATATAGCTCCTACACTCTCTTCTCTCCCAGTATTACAGGGTCAACGCTCACAACCTACGATCGGCGTACAGTGTCATCTGCGAAATTCTTCTGGCCCGGCCGCTGACGAGTCGATGGAAGGAGATACCGGAGACTTGTTCTCAGGTCTTGACTCTACGCACATAGTCGCCCAGTCACACGAGCGACTACACGAGCCATCTGCTTCTCGACCGAACCGTGACCATGCCTCATACGCTTACGATCATAGTATGCGTCCTTTCTCTGACGGATACGAACTCAACGGTATTTCTCCCCGCGGATTAGTACACACTACCATCGCAAGTCAGGGGGAGCAGGTTCAAAACTATGTGGGAGCTGATCGCTATTCTGGTATCGTGAACAGCCCTATGGACCGAATTTGCAATGTGACTGAGCATAAAGCAGGCGCACTCCTCAACGTGGACAAGGGGACAACTTCCAATAGTCCGTCGAACACCTTGAACGAGTCAGAGCACGACATCATGATGTACAGACTGAAGGAGCCAACCCAAGAGCTAGAATTGGAACAACGCAGTCACGAGACCGCCATCTCCAATGAGCTCACGGAGCGCATACCAAAGCTGCCACTCAGTGCCGAGGCGCCCCTGATACCAAGTCTGAAGACGGAGTTGTCTTCAGCGACGGAAGAGATGCACTCAAACTCGAGTGCGCTGACCGAGAACACGATGGAATCTACAACTCCAACGTACCGCTCACCGCCACAGCGACGGCATGTTACGTCTCCCGATGGGACAAGTCAGAAGCCTTTCTCCACTATAGAATCTTCTGTGTCTTCCTTTAACCCTGTCCAGGACAAGACCCCGCCCCTTCGACGGACTCACAATCCCATTACCAGCACACCCGTTGTTGGTAAGGTTTACTTCATCCCTGATGGTGGTTACTTTCCTGCCTCAGTCATTCACATGCAGAAACAGCAAGAAGGCTTCTTCAAACATCCAGTACTTGTCACTGATGTAGATCATGACTTCGCGTACTTCTATGCTCTTACTAAATCCCCACCAGCTGCCATTGGAGAGATGGCGATGTGCCTACGCATGGGCAATAGTACAGCAGATGAAGGTATCTACACATTAAGACTGGCGAATGGCTCACTCCCCATGCAGACCGAGACATGGATGAACCTTGAACAGCGCTTCTACATCGAGTGTGAAAACTTGAATGATTGGGCGATTGATGTTCGTATCAACACGGATGATTTGTGGAAGCTGTTTAGGCGCATACAGGAACTGGAGGCACGCCAGAATCGTTTCCTCTACAAGCCGCTTCCACGAGACATGAGTTTATTGCAGCCTGGAACAGTCGTCATGTTGTTGAATAATCCGCAGTCATCGACTCTTGGCGCCCCTGTCCTCATAGTGGAAAACCAATACCCTTACCTCCGCTATCTGCGCATCAAAGAATTTAGCGACAACCCTCACTTCAACCCAACATCACGGCGCACTACTGGACCACCTCGTCATCGGTGTTTGGAAATCTGCAAGTACCCAAAATGGGGACATGATGGCACACCAATCATGTTGGTCGAGTCTGATTCCCCTGAGATGCGTGAGTCGTCTTATGTTGAGGTATACCCAGCTCCCAGTACAAGCACTTTCCACATGTGCAAGACCTGGTGCTGGCCGCCGGTAGTCATTCAATCCCAGTCGATGGCTATACTTCGTGGTTATAGCTCATTCGTAGGAGCGCGCTTCAATTTCCAGACGACTTCACGGTCGCTATTTGTAGGGCCGACAACCCCCTTCCGCAACGGAGTTCCACAAACCCAACATGGCAACGTGGGATATCAGTCATTGCCACAACAACATGGCTACCAAGCAGCCGTGCCTCCTCCACCGCCGCATACATCGTTTGGGTTTCGCCAACCTGTCCAAAACAGTCAACTCACTGGCGTTTATGGACATGCTGGCGCCCCGTACTCACCAAGCATGTATCAGCATTGTAAGTGACACACAGTATACTCTGAATACAGCTGAGTGCTGACGTCAATAGGCCCTACTATACTGTTTGACGGCTATGGTCACCCTTATTCGCACATGTAATTGTTCGCAATGGTTGGTTTGGAGAGGATATTGATTCTATTTGGCCCCTCACGGTTCGGGCAGGATTGCTAGGTGATCTAAAAGTAATGTAAGAGCGTCATCTTGGTGAAGTTGTAGTTGTAGGAGCACTCTGTAATCCAGACGATCGTCTTGTATGACATCTCCTCATCGATCGTTGGTAGTTCTACTCTCTTGCGACCGCTCCATAGTGTTGATACCAGATTAATCGACATGTAGTCGTGTTCTCCGTACCAATAGACGCAATGTGAGCACATCGGCTTTTGGTGGTTGTGCATGTTGTCAGGGCCTTGATACAACCCTCAAGCTCCTTCCTCACCTGCCGCCTTTGCCCAACTGCAGATACAACCACCCTCCCACCGAACCACATTACGTCATGAACAATTTCCTTCGTCCTCTGGTATATTGTGACTGCCGCTCTCTTTTCGGTAACCGCATTAGCCGTCACCGGTGGTACATTCGGCAGAAGGAGACACCGCAGAAGGCCCTCTCCCGTATCGTACATCAGAGGAGGAAGGCCAAGCAGCAGGTAAGGGACTGCCAGTACCGCTTACTCGTTTCGCAATAGCAGAGAGATTAGACCGCGAAGCCCAGAAGCTCGACCTGGATGCCGGAACTGGGCCTGATCGCCGCGCGCATCACCCGAGCCGCAGAAACGCCAGTAAACATTACCTTGCGAGACCCTTCTCTTACTATGCACATCCCTCCTCGAGACGAAGGCTACCCAAGACAGCATCGTTGAGATTGAAGGCCGAGGGCGGAATGGGTCCTTCGGCGACAGGCAACCGAATACGCTCCACGCAGTCGCCGACTCGAGTCAGAAACAACAGACTTCCTCACTCTTACGGTCTCATCCCACAGCGACTGTCGTTGAGGAGCGCCATTGTCGCGTGGCTACAGATCCTCGTGTAAAATCTTCCGATGCCACAAGCCACCAGGGTCGAGATTCGCTCTCGACGCTCGCCGCGGGATGCCTCAACCTACTATAGTTGACGATACCCGCCATCCACGAAGACACTAGTCAGCACTATCACGCCTTCGGTTCGCACCTTGTCGAAGGACCCGAGGTCTAGTCCTGTCTCCACAAACGCCTGAAGATCCAGAGCAGCTCGTGACCCGTCACGATCGAAGAAGCCCATCGCGACCCTCTTCCATCTTATCGTCTACCGACGCTCGCCGCCTCACCGACATTTGTACACCGAGCAGAGTGCGCTGCTAGCCCCACCTAGGAAACCATATGCGTCGAGGAAAATATCAAGTCCAATAATCGGAGGCAATATGGGTGGAGATAAGGTATTCAGAAGTCACAAAGTGAGGGGAATACGCTCAATATCGGCGTGGCACATGGCAATGTGCAGCCCCTGTTGAAACAGGCTGCAAATGAGATGCGTGTCAGGGACTGCGTTTCGAAAGCCACGCTGACCGCGCTCTATCGAACCTCATTTAATACGCGGGTAATGGTTGTGTGCTGCACTGTCATCCACGCGAGCCGGAAGTAGTGCCTAAAGACGACATCTAGAGGTTCGTTGCAGCGCGTGGACGTCTGGGCATCTACAAGCGGAAGTGCGTGGGCAGATGCCTCGGTGTTACACAATATTGCATCGTTCACGCCAGCGGCCGCTACTGTAAGCAAAAGGAATCGGTTGCCACGTGTTGATACCCCTGGCACCACGGCATTATCTTGACGAAAGCCTGCATGAGTCGTCGCGCTCTGAGGCTGCCGTAAGCGCCGAAGATCTTCGCCCTGTAGAGCGACCATGGGATTCTTGCGACGATAACCTAACGATAATTCTCTCGCGGCTAGAGCGGGCAAGCTTCGAAAATTCTAAAACCCTTCGAAAAAAAAATGACCCCAGATCAGCAGTATGGTCTGATGTTTGCCAGGGTAACGGCATTTGCATGCGGCAAGTCGGGATCTTTGGCGGCGGAGGATGCTGCACCGGCATCGCTTCGCAATCACAGAGGCGCCGGGGGCTAAAGAGACGACGGTCGATTCTGATGATCCGAAGCCTTCGCTAGGATGATCAATACACTTGCATCGTCGTTTTCGCTGAGCTTGGCGAGAATGAACCTCTACTCATCCGCTAGCGGCGTCTGCGCTCGCCACGGAATGTGGTTGAACGGGAAGGACCCTTTGCCAACCGCCCTAGAGCTCCGGGAGAACGCTACGATGCGAGCGAAGAATGCATTTTCGTCCCTGTGTCATCATCGCGTGGCTCCAAATTAGGTCCGCGCCCACCGCCAGTCTGAAACGCACGGGTGGATGCTTTTTTTTCTTTGACTTGTAGCACGTGCTGCATCACGCCGGGCAGCTGGGCATCGTGAGCGGGACTATTCCGGAGGAGATTGTGGCGGACCGTATGGTGAGCGTATCGCTGCTTGGCCTGGAGATGTCGGCTATACTCTGCTTACCGTGCAATCAACGTAGAGGGATCTGCAGCAGCGCAGGCGTAAAGAGGCTACGACTCGTGGGAGTTAAGTCGGAGCAATGCCGAAAGCGACAACGATGGGCAGATTGGGCACACCGGAGGCTTGAGGCTTGAAGGGTCCAGCATGGCGGAACTGTGGCAGTAATGCGGGCCACAGCCAAGGAGAGCGATGTCTCGCATGGACGAGCAACGATTCGCTGACGCTGAGGTGGGGTTGCACACGTGGAAAGTGCGGCACATTTACCACTCTCCAGGCTGAGAAACACGACAATCTCCGCAGGCATGACCGGCCCTCACAGTCAGGCATCGATCGCCTGTAGACGAGATGTAGATCTGCCGAGCCTCTTTACACATGATGACGCGCGGACATGGTTGCTCGCAGTGCAGCGTCGCGAGATTTGACAAAGATGCCGTCAGCGATTTGAGTGCGCCCGACCAATGCAGCACCTCCTGCATGTCGAGGAACGCAGGCTGACCAGGCAAGGGTGCAACGTGCATTCCACGTTGTGGTGGCCTCAGCAGCAAACCTCCGGGCCTCTCAGTAACGGCGACGTGTTCCACATGGCCGTGGCACAGTACGACCAGTTCGTGGCAGCGGTCGCCACCAGAACGTTACGCGAAAACGGGTCCCAGGAGGTGAGCAAACGGCGGTGCAGATGCGAAACCTGGGTGTCGCTGGTATGTAAGAGGCTGCGGTGTATGCGCAACGGCGCTTTGCTGCCTGGGGCGGCGGCGTGACACAGGTCGGTGCTCTGGGAAAGGTTTGTGGAAGGGGCAGCAGTCTGCGTCAGGCCATACTGTGGCAGCAGCCTCTCTCAACAGAGCACAGAGGCACAACAGGATGCGCGTATCACTGGCCGTACCGGTCTTGCGTGCAGACGCAGACATGCAGCAACGTCGTCCCCTTTGAGCGCCTTGTCTCGCGTGGTGGCTGACTGAGATGGGGGCAGGCGGCGCCATCGTCGCCCACGACAGAGTGCATGCAGCTGCTCGCCGCGTGCTGAAGACGTTCAGGTCGTCGCAGCGAGCCTCTTCCGGCGGGCCCATGGCGTGGTCGCGGGCGGTCCCCTTTGTCGGCGTGCGGCGCTCAGAGACCTAGTCGTCGGCAGCGTCTCACCGTAGACAGGGGGCGGCAGAGGGCAGGGATGCCTCGTGGAAGCCCTTGGCCAAATACTTTATTCCCATGCGTTGGTGGCCGTGCATGCCGCCATGTGTCTCGTATGCGACTAGGAGGCCGCTGCGGTTAGTGCCTTTGTCATGGCCCAGCTCCAGGGCTAATTCGGCGCCATGCTAGGCCATCTTAGCTGTCTTAGGAGGGCGGTGTGAGGGCTGTTCAAGCGGCAGAAGACTCAGTGGTCACGGACCCCCAGACTGTGAAGGCCAATCCCAGCTAGGGTACCCACACATTGCCCTTCAGTGAGGTCCGCGATTTGATTCTCCGCGACCATCTTCTGCTCGGCATGCCCTTCCAGACGACATCTCTTCTCCCCTTGACTGCGTCTGTCTCCTCTGTGCCTGACAGCCTGAGCCCTCCCACCAGCGAGCCCCTCCACCCCCGACCCGACCACCACCACCACCACGACCCAGACCGACTGCCTATCGCACCTGCCTCCGCCGGCTCAGACGCACCTTCCGCGACTTCTTCAGCGAGCAAGAACAGCCCGCCCCCACCTTCCTCCCGTGCTATCAACCACGCGAGACGCTACACCCTCTCCCGCTTCCCTCTCCTCCGCAAAGGCAGCCGCGAATTGAGCAGGACGCCTTCCACCACAAAGAGCCCTGCCGAATCGCCCTTTTACGCTACAGGTGCACCACGCTCCTCGCAGTCTCTTGCGCGTGGGCCCGATCTTTCTCCCGCACGCGAGCCCGCCAGCCCCCACGACGACGGCGACGTCATAGCTGAAGAGGCGGAAAACACACACCGATTGCCAGACAGGCCGAGAGCAGGCAAGCCCGACAAGATGCATCAAACAAGTTCGCGGTTACTCCGCATGACGGACGATGAGCGGCCTTTTACAAGGGTGAGTACTGCCATCCAGCAACTTTTTGAATCCGCCGAGATCGGCCCAGCCCATAATTTCGTTACCTCCGTCACATCCCATGGAGCCGGATTTCCTAGTAGGTACTATTCCTACGAGACAACAGCGACCACCTGAGGAAAGCTTGGGAAGTTGGTCACAGTAACCTCTATGATCCACTTCCAAAAGCCACCAAAGAGCAAAGGGGCCACCCTTTTGAAGCTTGCGCAGAACCACTGAGCGATCAGCTGCGACGAGCAATATCTCATATTCCCGAATTATCCACATGTCTATGGATTGGCGGAGGTCTGTTGTAGTACTGGATTTACTGCGTGCTTTTTCGGACCGATTTGAATTTCCACCGGGAATGCCGCGTGCTCGGAATGCGCCCGCAATCTGACACCTGCGTTGTGCCTTGGAACTTCCCGCAGCCGCTGCTATAGCAGTACCAAATTCTGAGCATGGGCAAGAATGTTGCTAACACATCAATTCAGGACTTCAAGGACCTCTTCTCGACGCTTATGGTTTCGCTTCCCCTCACAGCACACCGCGTTCGCTTTAGGATGATCGACTTCACCTTCACTTCGGATGAAGCAATTACCAACCTTGGATCCCTCAAATTCTCTCAGTCCAACCGCATGCCAGACCCCAAGGACTCATCACGTGTCGTCACGACGACCACTACGACCACCTTCTCAATGGCCAAGGAGATGGCTCGCTCCGTTTGCCAGAAGTTTCTTGAGGCTAAATTTGTTGAGTCGGTAGAAGGCAAGACAGATTTCATGAACAAGAGCTCGGTCTGGCAACTCACGCCCAAGGGCATTCACATTCTGGAGCGCTTTTGTACCCGCAACGGCATCGCTTCAGCCCACGTCAAGGCTGTCATTGAGTCTAACAGGAACCCGAGACAACTGGTTGTTCTCGAGCGCAACACTGAGACCGACAAGCTTCATCATGATGAACAGACGGTTGAGATCATCTTTCGCCGCTTTATCGGTACCACTGCCAATGAGACCCAGTCAGATTCTGACTCGATACATGAGTTTTCAAAGTGTGATGTCGGGGTCAAGCTTGTCAAACACCGACCCACTTCTCAGCGCCAGTTTGAGTACACCTTCAACGGACGCAACGCCGCACAGTGGTTGATGGACTGCTCAACCATGGTTGACCCCCGTGAAGCTATCGAGGTCGGCTCGCTATTCTTGCAGCTTAAACTTATTGCCCCAGTCGACCCTCGCAACTCAGAACACCAGTTCCAACCGTCAAAGCAGGTACACTACTATATCACCAATCACGGCGAGCGTGTCGCCGGCTGGCTCCTCGAGGAAGTTCCATCAGGCGGAGATGTAGCAGTCAAGTCAAGAGATGGCGTTGCCCGCGACTCCAACAGCAACCGTACCAACGTCATCATCCGTAATCCTTCATGGCGTCTATTGTACCGCGAGTTCCTCAAGGAAACCATGTGCGAGGAGAACCTCTCTTTCTATCTTGAGGTTCAACAGTTCAACAAGCAATATCGGGACGCTATCAACGACAAGGGTGATAACAAGGTCGAAACAATTCGGGAGACACTTGCTGCCGCATACGGTAAGACTGAACACGGTCCAATTTACAGACAATCTCTAATCAACCTCAGGTCTGTACAATGCTTTCTTGGCTCCCGGCTCTCCGAATGAGCTCAACATCGACCACAGTCTTCGCACACAGCTGGCTACTCGCATGACTCGTGCCGTTGGCGACGATGCAGCCATGTTGCAGAGTCTTAACGAAGTCGCGTCCTTATTCGAAAAGGCTCAGCAGTCTATCTTCAAGCTGATGTCTAGCGTACGTGCTAACTTCCACATTTGTGATTGTGATGGGTTGCTAACCTCACCACAGGACTCTGTGCCCAAATTCGTCAAGCATGCCAAGTACGGCCCTCAGCTCCGTGGTCTTGATGCCGCCGCAGCATCTGCCTACGTCGCTTCGCCCACTGCCACCCGATCATAGAATGAATATCGCGCCACCTTCACGACCGATTCTGAATCTCTCCGCAAGATAAAACGACGACGATATGCGAGTGCTGAACCATCTCAGGCCTAATCGCTTTAGTTGGATAGCTGGCATCACTTTCTTGGTGCGTTTTTCTTTCGGCTCATCGACCTCTTCTCCTACTCCATTGCATCGAGTCATAGACTGCGGCGTTTTTGGGGTTCCGGGCCAAAACATTAGCATCGGGTGGTCGTTTGTGGAACTGTTCCTCTTTCCTTAGACCTACTCGACCTTCTGTTTACCTTTGTTGTCTTTTCTTTTCTTTCTTCACCTAGGCGGTCATAGCAGGATGGCGATCTGCGAGCACTCGTCACGAAACGTTTCCAACAACTGAAGCTGGAAGCTGATCTCTTTTTCTTCTTTTCCCCAACCGATACGAAAGTTTAAGACCGAAATTCGCAGTAGGTTACCCAGATCACTCATCTGAGGTAACCACGCGCGGCTGTATTCCGGCTGTTATTCCCGTAACTTTTACACTTTCCGACAAGCGAGAGTCTCAATGAGGATGATTGGGTCGACATAGCCACGGCTCTCTCGCCGAGTCTTTTGTCAGTTTAGGTTGAGGAAGGGTGACCATGATGTTGGATGTGGGGAAGGCACCCGTACGACAGACGAAGGCACTTGATTCGCATCGGACGGACGATGCGATGCGACTGAACCCTAGCGCACCCTAATAGGAGGTTTCCGATGATACCCTCATGCTATAGAAGAACTCATAACGATACTACACACTTTGTCTTATTGCTGGTAACGACGTCAACGCAAGTAATGGGCTCAATAGTCGCAAGCCATGGCATGCCTGCATTGTTGGACTGCACGGCCGCCTTACCTCAGCTTCCGCATTACATAAACATGTGCACCACCCTCGTGAAAACATCGACCACGCCTTTGCAAGTCTGGGCCCAAACTCTTTAGCATCCCCTAGCGCTACCCCCTCTGATCCAACATCGCAGTTACCTTCGCAGCAGCACGACCGGACATACCCTGCCTCAGCATCTGTCAGAAGTCAGGACGCAGGACTTGAGCGGACTTCGCGAATCATGTTGATCAGCGAAAATGCCAGGGGTCTCTGCAGTTAACTCCGAAAGCTACTTCTGTGGGCTTTGCTGATAGGCTGGTGACATCGATGGAGATCACCGAAGATGTGGTGCGTTGCTGGCGCAGGCGATGTGCTCCGGGGTCCGTGGTTGGTGCGGAGGAAGACCGGGGAAGCTGTTTGGCGGAGAGCAAGGCTACGCATCGGAGCTCGGTGCCGAGAGTCGTTGTCGGAATTCGCTTTCGGTGAAAGCTCCGAGAAATCGAATGAACGGAAGGTGTACGTGAGATGGGGTGTTCATGCGGTGATAAGGTTCAAGGGGTGAGAACTGTCATACCATCAAAGTGAATGCAGGGTACGCAACGGCGATGCCAGCAACTTGGTAACACGGTGAGCCAAGCCTTCATTATCTATTTCTACCGTGATATGATTGTCGGGTACTCGTGCCTCGATGCCGAGCTCAGATCTACAAGGCACATGCATCAGAAGCGATCAAAACGCCGGTACTTGCTGAGTACGTCAGCCATCTGCATCTTGCGCTGCATAGTCAGCGTTTGCGACTCGACTTCGGAACAACCCTCTCGGGCCGGTGACCATCGTGCATCTCCGACCGCATATAGCCGTACAGTGGCTTTCAGTGGGTTGCAGATTAGGTTTGTTAGATAGGGTTTTCTTAGAACAAACGGCGCAGTTCCCATGGAGTTTGGTGTACTCCGCCGTCGTGGTCTCTTCGGTCAGATACATGTGATGCAGGGGAATATACATGGATTGCGGATGACTAATTCCGTCTCGAACGGCCGTGGTTGCGTCTCGCATTTGATGTATGTGGCAGGTGGTAGCGTTTTGTCCCCATGAACCCTCCGACAAGTCCACGAGCATCCTCTTCTGTCCAGTGTGAAAAGGGGGGACCCTGCATTGTGTAGTTAAAGTTTGAAATGCCACATGGTCATGCTGGGTGGCAGAAAACGTGCACTCGGTCCCGAGGATGTGGTAAGTTTTGCAAGCGTCGCTGTGTAGGATAGAAGAAGAGACTCGAATGTCAGTGGCGCTAAGCTGACTCCACAGATTACTCATAAAGTGTAAGGTGAGAAGGTAACGGGAAGTTTCTCACCTGTGCATGTGAAGTCGGAGAAACGTAGATATCGTAGCGGTCTTGGATGTTGGGACAGAGCAGTATGCGATCTGCGCGTCTGCTGTGCGTGTACGAATGGAGGCCTGGTGGAGATAGACATACCACTGGATTTGATGGGCAGGGTCTTCACTCGCTCCGTCATCGATGCCATGCATGACTAGTTGTTGCTTGTAGCGCCAAACGTCTAGGCCCGCGGACTCCGATGCTTCTTATGGTACGACGCGTAGTCGCGATCGACAGGTACACTTTCCCCGTCGAGCAAGCCTCTGCGAACCGAGGCATTTGTGGCTTGCAACGAAGAAGGCTTGTGTCTCGCGGGAATCGCGGGATTTGATGCTACATTCGGGGTAGGGAGGTAATGACGTCCTAGAGCTAAGGAGGTAGTGCGGAAGGGTTCCATGGGTGGAAAGAAGGTTTCGGCATGCGGTATCTTGGGCCGAGGCAGATCGGTTGACACGAGACAACCCTTGGAAGCGTCGCGACCACGTGAGCTGGCGTGTTCGCGTTGCGCGTGGCATCCAGTCCGTGCGCTCTGTTTTCGGGTCTGACGCGATCCTCGAGACTGTTGCGATAGCGGCAATTAGGCACCAACATACAGTCAACACCACAAAATACCACCGGATCTCATTCGCGCATCTCAGGTCCTTTGTCCTCGATCGCTTTCAACTCGCTTCCCCGCACATACCTCCTCTACACCTCGACACCATGGGCCCGGCGCCGCCCAACAGCCAGATGGCTCCTCTGCCTACAAACCTGCCCTTCCGGCTCGTGAGTAAGACAATCGGGCAAGGCGCATATGCCTCGTACGTTGTAATCTCCCCTCGTCGAGTTTTGGGAGTCATTCGCTCATGGTAGATCTCCAGCATCCGTAAGGCCGTCCCGCACAACTCGCCCAAACCCGTCATCGCGATCAAGTTCATCAATAAAGAACATGCCCTCAAGACCGGCCGCCTCACTCCGAAACAAATCAAGATGGAGGTGGTTCTACATACACATCTCGGGAAGCACCAGAACATCATACACTGCCTAGGGTCTGGCGAGGATGCGCTATGGACGTGGATCGCCATGGAGCTGGCTGAGGGCGGAGACTTGTTTGACAAGATCGAGGCGGACGAAGGTGTGGGCGAAGACATCGCGCATCTCTACTTCACGCAACTGGTTAACGCCGTGGCATATATGCACAGCATGGGTGTTGCGCATCGAGACATCAAACCTGAGAATGTCTTGCTGAGCGCCGAGGGGGATCTCAAACTCTCCGATTTCGGGTTGGCAGCATTGTTCAAGAAAGACGGGCAATTGCGACTCTGCAACACTGTATGTGGCTCGCCGCCGTACATCGCCCCGGAAATTGTATCAGGGAGGCGGAGCAAGAGGGCCGACATGCTCGACACCGGCTACGCGGCGAACATCTGCGATGTCTGGAGTTGCGGCATTGTGCTCTTCGTCCTCCTAGTCGGCAACACCCCTTGGGACGAGCCAACCAAGCGCTCTGCAGAGTTTAAGGAGTACGTCGAAACTGGGGGACACACTACTGATGAACTTTGGAGCAAGATCCCAGCGGAGCTACTGAGTCTGCTCCGCGGCATGCTGAAAGTCGACCCAAAAGAGCGCTTTACTCTCGATGAGATACGCACACACCCCTGGTGTACACGCAAGAACCCATACCTGACTGCGAGCGGACGTAACGCGAATCCAGTAGGACTGGCGACACAGATGTTGTCGCAACTACGCATCGACTTCACAAGACCACCAACGCAGTCACAAAGAGAATTCTCGCAAGACGCAGACGAAGATGGCGACGCGATGGACATAGACACTGACGCAGACCCTCGTCGCTCAAGCGCTGTAAACTTCCTCTCCTCCACACAACCCGAGACTCCATCGGCAGAAACACCCTTCGACTGGGAGCGACCCCCACGCCTCGCCTCTCACGACGGCATCTCCGCCTCGCAACCTGTTACAATACCCGACAATCGTCCTATCAACATGAGCTCTACGCCCTGTCTATCTCAACTCCCCTCATCGACACAGGACATGCTATCGCAGGACCCGTCCATGACGCAATTCAGCTCAACCCCAGGTGTGCCTCTGACTTTTACGCAAGCAGCTCGAAAGTTCGCCGATATTCTTCCATCCTATTCCCTGGCGCGTTTCATCTCTCCGCACAACCTTGGTTTACTCTTGCCTCTCCTCCTTACAGCTCTGCACCGGCTAGGCGTCCCTTCACCGTCTTTCACCGAGACGCAGATTGAGGAAGCGGAAAAAGCTGGGACAGCCTCTATTCGGGTAAAGATGGCGGATGGACGACGACAAGGCTTGAACGGCCATATCGTCATCGAAAAGGCCGTCTACGATGGAAGTGCCTACTGGGAGGTGAGGTTTGTCAAAGCTAGTGGAGATCCATTAGAGTGGAGAAGGTTCTTCAAGAACATGGTGCTTTGTGTTGGAGATGTTGTGCTGCGGCCCAACTAGGCCAGGCTGGAAACGGAACGTGAAGCACGATAGATGACGATATACCCCGGGCTATATAATGATGGGATGGAAACATGGGGGGGTTGGTATCATGGATTAATCGCAAATTCAAATTTGGTCGACACTGCAACATCATGAAGTGCAATGGTATTAGGTGTCGCAATGTATAGGAAAAGGACAGGCGAAGTTGCTATGAACATTGGAACACCAAGGCGGATAAGCCACAGCCTATCTACAGCATCATAGCGCTGACGATAGCAGCAGCGGTAATCACCAAGCCACTTACTCCGACAATGCTCGCAGCGCTGTCGTCATCCC